CCCCCCCCCCCCAGTAACTCGCGGGGCTTCGCGCTTGGTGATGTACTAGCCTAGTCCGGTGAAAACCTGGCGTGCTCCGACCCGGCTTTTAATCATGTGAGGTCAATGCTCCCACGACTTCGGCATGCACGGCTGTGAGTACCCCCCAATCGAATCTCACTTTCCGCGGAGCTCCTCATCTCCCAGCACCTCGTACGCCTCGGCAACCTCCTGGAAAATCTTCTCCGACTTTAGCTTTTCCTCTTCTCCCTGCACCTTGTCCGGGTGGTGGATCTTGGCCAGGTCTCGATATGCCTGGTGACGAGGGAGCGAATGTTCCGGGATACCATATACATCTAAAACACACCTCATCTGTTAGTAGAGATGACGTGTCCTTCGACCCCCTCCCCCAAACAAAAACACAAGACCCCCCAGCAAACCAAAATGTGGAAGCACCCTAGTTGTTGTGAATCGTTGTGTTACTGCAAGAAAATTGTTAAAAAAAAAAAGGCGAAATGCGAAACTCCCACGGGATGCATCGTAAGACCGAGAGCATGGTTTTCTTCACTTGTATTCACAACAACGGTTGTTGTTGGGGGGCGGTAGGCTTTCTCGTCTTCTGCCGGCCCAAGCTGGGTACAATGACATGTAGGTACGCGTGCGAAATGCGAATTGAACGTCGTCCTCACGCGATGTGACAGGTTTGGATAAAAAAGGAGATACACAACCAAACCTCGCCGGTGAAAAAGCGCAAAAGAGCTGCGTCAGCAGAGTTGACGCGCGTGTCCAGACCGAGCACTGTTAGCCGATCGAGCCCACGGAACGCGGTACAAAACACCAAGACAACCAAGAGCGCTACAGTACGACGACGAAACAAGCATGACCAGTGTCCATCATCCAGACCGAGAGCCATCATGTGCACGTACGGACACTACACAAGGTCGAGGCGTTGACTAAAAACGAACGGATGACGCCATCACGCACCTTCTTGATCTGAGCCAGGTCAGCATTTCGTGGGACCCCAAGAATCTGGTATCGCACAGAGAGACGCCGTCGCACGGAAGAATGAATGAGAGCAAACTAGTTGATCAAACCAGCTGCTTGTGAGGGCGGACGTGGTGGTGGTAGTGATAGTGGTGGTGGCTACGGGCAGAGTACCTGAAGGCAGATCGAGTTTGGGAAGAGGAACGATTTTGTGACTGGCTGCACCGTCAGGCCGCGGGCGAGGAGAGCTCAGCATTGAAAACTGTTCGAAAAACATGACGTGGAGACGTGCTGTTTCCATTCCCATTCTTCAGAAATAGAAGTGCAAATAACGCGAGAAGGCGTGGAAAATCAGCCGCAACCGTCATGGAGGCCGCCGTCCCCCCTCCCCGTCCACCTTCGCCCTCACTGGGTCGCTTTTCCTATCACACAACATTGTGCTTCCCATCGTGTACCCTACCGCAAAACATTGCTCTTCCCATCGTGTACCCGCGGCCCCTACAAAACACGCTTCCAAAGGTTTTCCCACCAACCAGCGATCCGCAAAATACCACCCGCGTGGGCGCACCTTGTAGTACTGCTTCTTCTTGCTCTGCTCCAGCAAGATGTTGGCCTGCTTGAGCTTTGCTCTAGCCTGGTCCAAGACCTCCATGCCGATCTCCTTGACCTTGGTCTCCGCTCTGGCGTAGGCGTTCACCGCCTCTTGGAACTCCTCCGCCGCCTGGTGGACATCTCCCATCACGATCTCCGCCTGGGCCCCAACCTTTTTTAGGGGTCGGAAAAAAACAAGCCCCCAAGTGACACACGGAGGGCGAAAGAAGTGACCAGCACAGCAAAAGAAGGTGCAAGGTAAGGGCGACCGGACAAAACAAACAAACGAAAGAAGATTGTAGCAACACAGCCAGGGGAGATGGTTGAAGAAACAAAACACGGCACAAGACGTGACCAACACAGCAAAAGAAGATGCTAAGGTAATGGCGACCGCACAAAACAAACAAACGAATGAAGATTGTAGCATCGTTTCACGAGGGTAAACGGATGGTGGTATTGACGCAGCGCTGTGCTAGCAGCTGTAGCGAAGGTAGAGACCACACCAACTACAGTAGACGAATGCTGAAAGGCGCTATTTGTGGTTGCGGAAGCACATGACGACTCCCCATCTTGCGCCTTATGGGTCATGCCTGCCGCTGTTCTCGATCTCTTTGCGTCTCTGTTTGTTTGTTTGTCTCTCTCTATCTGCCTCCCTCTTTCTCTCTTTGCACCTATCGCTAGCTCTCGGTATCTCTGCACCTGCCTTTCCCTCTCCCTTTCTCTCCATGTATCGCTCTCTCCGCACGTAGCTCTGTGCTTCTCACCTCTCCATCGGGGTGTGTGTTGAGGCACTCCTGGGCGGCCCTCTTGGTCTCGGCCCAGTCCTTCGCGCCGAGATGCGCCGAAGCAATCTGTGTGCCGCCCGTGCCGACAGCCGGACAACGGCGACAACCCCACCAGCAAACAGACACAAACGTCGTCAACCGTAGCTAGTGCACACATTCAATATCCACGACGCAGCAGTGCATGCGACCCAAGGATTGGCTGCATAAAGAGTAGAACAGAATGGCAAGCCACCACCCACGACCCGGTGGTCTAGTGGTATCCTCGTAATCCGCTTGTCGCAGAGGTCGTGCGTTCGAATCCCCATGGGGTGAAAATTTACGAAATTTGCGGGTGAAAACGAAATATAGCTCAAAAGCTCTCGTGAGTACCAAACTTCGACGTTAGCACCGTTGAGGAGGGAAAGGGACGGCCGGACCCTTCTCGCGATAAAAATAAAACTCAGCAAGCACCGCAGGAGGAAGTTGGGCCATGAAAAGAAATAAAAGAAGAAATAACGCCCTGGTGTTTACCCCCTCCTGTGTGACCCTGGATGGTTGTAGTTGGACGAAAAAATACACTGAAAAGTGTAGTACTCTACATACGCTGAAAAGTGTAATCCACGTCTCACCACGAAAAATGGGGGGACTGTCGCCATAATAAATAGGGCGAAAACACACACACACACACACACACACACACACACACACCTTCATGCATGACAGCCTCACAGTATAGCACGGGGGAGGGTGAAGGGAGAGACGGTGACACTCTGGAACGATTACCTCCCTGCCACGCTAGGCATGCGGTACCAATCAGCACGAGCCAGAACCAGAACCAGAACCAGAACCAACGGCGACGCACACACACATACGTACGGACCACACTAGAAACGCACAGCAGATTTCCCACACCTTGACCCTTCACCTGCTCTTGGTTGTTTTTTTTTCGCCTACACACAGTGCTCGCTGCTTGCTGCGGTGTCCAGAGAGGCGTCCTTGTGTCGAGAAGAACCTCATCGTAACCGAGAACTTGTTCCAAAACTATGCATGAATCTCGTCGTACTCCCTCTCTCTCTGTCTCTGTCTGTCTTTCTCTTTCTTTCGTCCTTTCCCTCTCCCTCCCGCTCACCAACCCCTCTCACCCTCAACAGCAACGGCCCTAACAACGCCGGATTGTCCGGCTCCAGCGCCGTCGCGGCCCTCCACGCCTTCGTCGCGCCGGCGACGTCGCCGCCGCTTAGCAGCTCGGCGCCGGCCTCCACCTTCTTCACCACGGCGCGACAACGCCGGTGCTGCTCGCGGCAAGGACCGTTGTCGGGGTCGTCGAGAAGTACCTGTTTCGCGGGGACATGAACGAACACACGTTCAATTTTGTTTTGGTTCATCACTTTGAAAATCAGCACTCACAGATTTTTTCCCTGGCAGTAGGAGCTCAAATCTGTGTCGGCCACACAGAAGGAAGGTTTTGATCAAAGAGGTAAATAGTGTCTGCGGGAAAAGACGCCAGTCAGCTTTTGTCAAGAGCTGTGACGCCTGCCGAAGAGACAGATCAGTCCAAGCAGAACTAGAAAACGATGCAAGCAGAATCAACACGGAAACACCGACACGGTTCCGGCCTCCCCATAGCCACGACACTGACTGATGCTCAGCAGTAAGCTCTACGCCCCGTGGGTTCCTTCACATCGTGATTCCTGGAGTGCAGATACGACAAGCTGAAAGCATTAACAGCATATTTTGACGATGCCCTTGGAAATATCATGCTGCTAACCTGTCGGAAGTGGTTGCCAGCGAGCTCGTAGTCCCCGAGGTGAATGTAGCACCGCCCGCGCAGCTCCAACGCCTCCGCCCGCTCTCTTGCCGCCTGGTTCGACACACGAATATACTGCATTGAGTCAGAGCTGTAGGTACGTCCGTACCCATTCGCATGTCCCATTCGCATGTTTCCTCCAAGCGAGTAAACTTCATGAGATGAGAACAGAAACGCAACCCACGTGCGGCAGGCACCAGTGAAAGGGCAAACCACTACGCCCACGGCAATTGCTCGCCATCTCGACGACGACGTCGACAACAATACTGCCCCAAGGTTACGGCAGCATCAGAGTAGCCCCCCGTACAACACTCTACTTCCTGCGTAACCACCAACGAGGAAACTACATGCTCACACGGGTGGCAGAGCAGCGTGCGCGATACACACACCTACCCCCTCAAGCGCGTTTGTGCACACATAACAGGTGCAGCAAGACACGAATTCCCATACTACCTGTAATCCCAACCCCGCTGGGCAATCCCTTCCTTGACAAGCTCTAGCCACCACCACCATCCTCCGTCCCTTGCTCTACGCCGCGAGTCTCTTCTCTACCAAGCAAACAAAACGTCCCACACGAAATAAGAGGCACACAGATAAAAGAGTTTTCCTATTCTAGACGCACTGAGAAAAGATGTATTGTCATTGGTTAGCCGGTTAGCGCGGTTCGATATCAACTGGCAAAGACGCCCACACACGCTTTAGAAGAGCTTTCTTTTTCGGTCGCGCTCAGACTAACGCCTTTTCAGCGGGGAAGCGCGGTCGATGCTAACAACAACAATAAACACATATACACACACCGCAAAAAACGACCCAAGACCTGGCCTAAGCACCAATCAAAACCCGTGCACACCTTGTCGTCATCTGCCTCCGACGCCACCTTCGCCGCCCTTCCCGCGTCCGCCGCGGCCTGCAGCCACCGCCCGAGCGCGAAGTGGCACCGGGCTCGCCGCATGAGGAGCTCCGCCCCGACAAGGTCAAGCTGCTCGTCCAGGATGGCGTCGTACGCTTCCGCGGCAGCCTGCCATGTGTCATTGGGGTTCGAGCACGAAAGGGGGGGGGGGGGG